TGCCGCCACCATGTCGTGAAGGCACGGTGTGATTCGTTGTGAAAGCGAAACTACTTTGTTTGGTCTTCCAAAAGAGGACGATATCCGCTTCGTCATGCCTAGAGCTGATCCGTGCTGGTCGCTGAGGAAATACTACAACTTTGCACTGTGGATCGCCGGATCGGCTTTCACCGTGGACAAAGCAGAGTCCAGCCCGGGGTCGTCACATGTGGTTGCCGCAAGCCCGCCGGACGCTCCTTCGTCGAATCCGCCGCCTCTGCTCACTCTAGCCCTCCAGCCATTCCTCACTCAAGCCCGGCGTGTGTGACGCCGTGTTTCGTTGTGAAAGCGAAACTACTTTGTTTGGCCTTCCAAAAGTGGACACGACTAGAAATCAGTGGTTAAGTTGTATTTACAACACTGTTCCAGAATACTTCAACCCAAATATTCAGATGTGTGCAGCACATTTTATGGAGGGGCCGTTTCCTGATCCTGGGAGAGTAGACTACAATGCCGGCTGTTCGGACTCACAGACTGCAAGTACATTTTTTATATTTAAAGACATTTTATATTTTATATATTTAAAGCGAGTTTTTTGGGCAGTGTAGAGTAGGGCTTGTTGTTTGTCATTTCTCCAATCACAAATGCAGACATGGTTTTATGTTTACGCGGCGTGATGCAACGCAATGCGTAAAAAGACAGTACAAGTCATTATAATCCATAATTATGTCCCCACTGGATGCAACAAATGCCTCGTTTATAATGGGTTTTCATGTTTTTGAATCATCGCTCCGGCCGGACAGGGCATCATCACAATATGGCGAGGGCCACAACATTTCCATCACACACTTGAGGTATTCGGCCAATCACAACGCACTGGATAGCTGGCCAATCACAGCACACCTCGCTTTTTCAGATGAGCTTTGTAAAAATCTACGCGTTTCAGAAGGCAGGGCATACAGTACAAACAATAATGTACAGTATCGGGAAAATAATGTGTTTTTTTAACCTTAAACCGAATAAACATTTCATTACACCAAATACACAAAATAATGTTCTTTTTACCAACATCATATGACCCCTTTAATGTTTTACGTCTTCATTTCAGCGTATATATTCTAATATTCAATTATATAGAATTAGAAAATGTCACGGGTATGCTTGTGAGCAAAGCGGTGTTCTGTCTGCCTACCTAGGTGTACTTGCTGCATGTAAGCCAGTAGTGCGGGTTTGTTGGCTGCCCATAGGCCGGGAAGCTGCGCCTCTGGAGGATACTTGCAGCAAGAGATTTCCAGTGTGAGCTCCAAACATTGTGCCCACACGTAGTTATAGTCTTGCATTCCCCCTAAGAGAACAACACACTACTACGTAACTGAGAATTGATACAAACGGCAACAAATAATCTCAGTGTCTCAAGTGTCACTACAGTAATTATATATTTTTTATTTTACAATCATATTCCAAAACGTCATCATTACAATTACGACATCAAAATATTAGCCATGTTTGCAGGTAAACCGTCACGAACAATTATTCAACTGATGCTTACAACCTTTTTACCTGGTAGAGGATACCAGTGATATCCGTTAGTGACGCCGTGGGAGAAGTCCTGCGATTCATAACAGCTGTTTCCGTTGTGCATCTCGCTGTGGCTGTAGGAGTAGGTCTTTGCCAGGTGGACAAACACGTCGTCGTCGGGGGAGATGCTGAGGCCTCCTTGCAGCTCGCTTCCTGAAACAAAGTCAATGACATTACCGTTACATGTCGCTGGACTCAAAAGAACTCCTACAGAATTGCTATTCATCATTAAGACAGTTATGTTTCAACTTTTTTTTACGTATTTTGTAAGGCATAACTCCATTATTTTTAAAACTCTATATCGGTCTATAATGATATGCTATGACAGACAATCTTGCTTCTCACAATAATAATAATAATAATAATAATTCAATAAAAAAAAAAAATGCTACTTAATTACCATAAATGCATGTAGCTTTTAAAACCTCACAATATTGATTCACGCCTTCAACCCTGTAAAGCCTATCATAGGAAAGGCAAAAATTATAACATTGTAATAATAAATCAATAAATCAAATACATGATATAACAGTTTGTCAATGGTACACAATTTACAAATAATTTTAAGACAGTTTGCATGTGATTGCCGACAACAGATATTCATATTCCATGCATCAGCCCTTTATTAATCGTATACCATATACAGACCTTATGCACCAGAGAAACAAGTGTGCAATCTTCTTTACAATTCTCTCGTTCAAATTCTGTATTTGTGGTATCTCTA